CTCACTTGAAAATTTAAGAGTTTAATTTTTATTATTGAAAGTTTAGGATCTAATCTTTTTCATTTTTAAAATTAGTTTGAGGGTTTAATATTTACGATTTGAAATTTTAAGGATGCAATTGTAACAACTGCTTATATAGGGAAACGAGGTTACAACTTTTACCTTTTTTTTTTTCAAGTATAGCATAAATATAAATTTTTTAATGTGTGTTTTACGTAATACATTTCATTATAGGTTTGATTTGAATGATGCTATTTTTGTAAGATTTTTAACTTTATGCTAGATTTTTAAAATATTATTTATTTTATGTTATTATAGTAAAAGCCTCAAATTTTATTTAACGAATAATTTATATTAAAATAAAGAGATTTTTATTCAAATAATAATAATAATAATAAAGAGATTGCAAACACAAAGTTTCAAATGGCATATTAATGATCTTTACTTTTAGAAATTATCCTAAAATAGTTTAAGAAAAAACTATTTTTCAAATGACAACCAAAAAGGGCATTTGTGGGTTATGTTAGTTAGAAAGGGAAAAATATGTAATCAATATTCGTGTTTGGAAATAAATAATAATTTCACTAATACAAAAATTATGTCATTGTTAGAACACATTAAAAAAACTAAGAAATAAATATCTAACAAGTTTTTATATACATATTAATCCATCTATTTAATTGTCAAACCACATCAACTCAACGAATGTTTCTCCCTTGATGATATCGATGAGAAAAACTAAATAGGATGCCTAATTCAAAATTATTTAGGAATATGATTAAGTATTAGATATTTTAATTTTAAAGTATAGAGACTAAAATAAATATAATACTTAAAATTTTGAAATATAAATTCAAACTTAACATTTAAAGATTTTTTTTTTTTCAATTTAAGGGTAGGAGAATTGAGAATAATAAGAAAAAGATTAGTTTTATTAAGTAGATCTTTTTTTAAGTATAAATAAGTAGGGTAGAAGATTTAGACTCATATAATAGTGATATTATTGACCTGCTCGATAAAAAAAATGATATAACATTTCAAAAGAATCCAAACTTGAATGCAAAACCACATCATCTAAAAAATATAATCTAATATTCAAAACACATCATCTAATACTATTTAGGACTTGAATATTTGTATGCATTAAAGGTGGTGAAAGATATTTTTTAGTTTTCTTTTTCAGTTGATCAATGGTAGAGTTGGGATCGAACTATGGACTTTATAAATGGTAACAAATGCTAATTTTATGGGCCTCTTGAACTATCTTTGGATTCATAGGTGGTGGAAAGACCTGAAGTTGGTGGAGAAGCTATCTTTTGCAAGGGATAGATGCGTGGAGTGTTATATTTGGGCAATGGCRATATGCTTTGAGCCTAAGTACTCTCTTGCTCGAATAATCACATCCAAAATTATCATGATGCAATCAATTTTAGATGACATATACGACGCATATGGCACATTTGAAGAACTCCAACTCTTCACTCGAGCAATTGAAAGGTTTTGACGATCACTAGTTAAATTTAGTTTGATAATAATCTTTATTTTTGTAGTGAAACCATACTTGTTTGTTAAAACACTTTTTTAAAACTTTGGCCAAATTTATTTGTTATGTTTCATTTGGATTTTAAAGATATTTTGATAAGTTATCTTTAAAAAACATAATAAATAAATAAATAAAGAGATTTTAATAAGAGAGATTACAAAACAAAGAAATGATCATGTTTTTTCCGGAAAAGTTCACCACCTTTTACTTCCCACCCTTAATTTAGGTGAAACTAATACCCTCAATTACAATGCGCAGGATTATTAATTTGAACCCACTTTTAGTTGGAGATAAGTACCTTAAATAATTGAGTTAAAATTGACTAAATTCAATTAAACTAACAAGACGTAACGACATGCTCTAGATTTTGTGGCTAGATTTGCAATTATTTTTCATAACTACTATATATGGGCACTTTATGTTATAACCTGATTTCTTAGTATTTTGTTGGATTATTTTTCCGTGATAAACAATTTTCCAATTTAACCTTCATGGGTATTAATTATATCTTCACCAGTTCCTTAAATTTAGGGTTGAATGTGACGAAAGTAAAAATTTTAAGCTAAGTTTAACATAAAATCCTACCTTTAAATTAAACTAACAAATTAATGTTATTTTTTTTCACTTTTTAGGTGGAATGTTAAATGCATTGACGAACTTCCAGACTACATGAAAGTGTATTATGAAGCTCTAATGGACATTTACAGAGGAATTGAGCAAGATATTAGCAAGGATCACATTCCCGATGCTATTCATTATGCAAAAGAAGCTGTACATTCTCTGATATCTTACCATATATTCACTACTACAATTTGAAGCTTCCGTCATGGTGGTGAACAGTCAAAAAAACGTTGAAAATTTTAAAAAACATTGTCTAACCATCACGAAATTTGAAACCATCATGAATTCTTTTTTTTTTCTGTGACGTTTTGTAAATGACATGGAATTCATTTTCTGTAAATCACGAATACTTTTCATGATGGAGAAATACGTGACGTAAAAAAACGTCATCAAAGAGTTTTGTAACGTTTTTTAAACATCTCGAAAAGCGAAATTTATCTTCATAATTATTCATTCCTTCAATAGTCTCTAGCAGCGCTCTCTCTCCTTTCTCTTTCTATCTTCCTCAAAGTGATATAATTTTTAATTTTTTTGAACATATCTCAGATGAAAAAGCAGGCTAGATACTTATTTACCGAAGCTAAATGGTATCATGATGGCTATATACCTACAATAGAGGAGTATTTGAGAGTTGCAAGAGTTACTTGCTACCATTTGATTCCTCCCACTTCACTTATTGGCATGGGAGATGCTGCTACCAAGGAGGCGTTTGAATGGATTGCAAGTGACCCGAAATTACTTATAGCTTCGGGAGTCATTGGCAGAATCATGAATGATATTACTTCCCACAAGGTAATAATACTATTTGAGATTTTCTCTACCCTAATTGATTGAGTAGTTTTTAGGTCTAAGTTAAGGTATTAGACTCTTATAGTTGAACTTTCTAAAAAAAAAAAAAACTCTTCTAGTTGGGCCAATCTTCTTAATCTTTTTTTTTTTTTTCCAGAAACTGCCTATAGTGTATCGTATTCCACATGATATTTCATAAATGTCAATTTTTATAGATATTTACAAATCTAGATTTTTATGATTTTTTCTCAAATTATGCCCTTGTTAAATGTCATTATATTACATTTATTATTATATTTTAAAATGTAGAAGTGATGTTATTTAACGCAAATATTTACATTTATTATTAAATTATAATGTTTTAATAAATAATTAAAAAATTATAGTAACACTTTTTTCTGGCTTAATTTTCCGGTGTATATTATTTTTTCTTACGGTTTATGATTTAGAATTTAGGGTTTTACGGTTTTATTTCTTTATTAAAAATAGAAATTGTCTATAAGGGTCTAGGTAGGTTTGTAAGGAGTACAGACAAAGTTTCAAATTGGCTAGGGAAGGAGATGATCGTAAGTATATAAGAGATGACAATTATCTTCATTGGTACGAGGACTTTTGGGTGAAACCAAGAGGAGAGCCGGGAGTAGTTATTCCCAAAGCTGATAATATCATATCATTAATAAATATGTTTATGGATAGTTTGGTAATTTTCAGATGAATGTATGGTCTTTATTTTGACAAATGTGAAAATTGTTTGTTACCTCTTTCTTTTTAGTTTATTCTTTAGATGACTGATTTTCTAGAACAAAAAGTTTTGTTTTTTTATGTTGAAATTTATTAACTTAATTGTGAATATACAGATTTTAAATGCGTAATAACCTTAATATTTACCAACCAATAATGGTTCACATACCAGTTTTGAAAAACCCCCAAACATGACGTTAGTGAGTGGAAGTCTTTGATGCACAATTTTATTTTTAATATATCTTTTCCATTTTAACCTTTTTGTTTCACATATATAGTTCGAACAAGAAAGAGGACATGTTGCTTCTGCCATTGAATGCTATATGACACAATATGGTGTAACAGAGAAAGAGGCTGTAGAAGAATTAGAACAGCAAATTACAGATGCTTGGAAGGACATAATTGAGGACTACGTCCAATCGCCTCATGTTCCAAACACCATTCTCACGCGTGTTATAAACGTAGCTCGCGTCTTAGATCTCTTTTATAAAGATCAAGATGGATTCACATTTTCAAATGGGGAAATCAAACTTTTCATCACATCTTTGCTCATCGATCGAATGCCAATTTGAATTTAATACTTTTCTAGATCTCTATGTATGGAAGGATATGGACTAAGTATAATAATGGAAAAAGTGAAGTACTATACTCGAGACTTCTTGCAAGTTTAAATATGTTGGGATGTATACCCTAAAACTTGTAATTCTATGTAAACGTTATAAATATAAATAAAATAGACTTATCCTTAATTATGCACATCTTGTTATAAAAGAGACACTCTCACAAGCAACGTTTGAGATGTCAATGTCGATGGAAATTTGGAGGTCCTAATCTGATGAAAATGTTGATATCAACAGATATTTCAGAAAAAATTATGGAAACTGTTTAAATTAGTAAATGAAACTTTAATTGTAGCTTAATTAAACTATAATTGATCACTTTAAGCCATCATATGTAAAATATGAGTAATGTATTTATGGAAATGTCGACGTCAATGGAAAAAATCGGAACATGATAATGAAGATGGATGAAAATTATTTGAATGAGTAGATTAAAGTTCAACGTTGCTTAATAATGTTTTATTGATAATTTATAGTCAAATATATTTAAATAATAACTGAACAAGATATTAAATATCAATATATATGATAAAGTGATCCTAGAAAAATTAAAATATTAAATTTTATTATATACAAATGGTGGTGATACATGAAGTAGAACAAATTGTTAAAAATGACAATACTCTTTTATATAACAAATTGTTATTATATTAGAATATTTACAAATGCTAAAAGGGTTTATAACAAATCTCTTTTGTGAGCCTGTAAAAGCTATTTAGGGTAAAGTTTGAAATGTCGATGCTGTAAGAAATGTATATGTTAATATATGACATAAAAATAATATATAACAAACCTCTTGTTGCTTTTTCTATATTATATTTCATTTTAGGAATTAGTAATAAGATTCTTCATGGCTACACGTTTTGCTCGTCAAGGTCCTCCATGATTAGGTAGACATGCCATTTTATTTACTGTAATATTTATGTAACTTGCATCAATATTTGTGTTTTCCTCCTCTCATAAAATTATTACAAAGCGTCATAATTGAAAGACATGCAATTATCTCCCCACTAGTACACTTGAAGTCTTGAAGTTAAATCACAAACATATGTGTTTTTGCTATTAGCCTTTTATGTTGATAATTGTGTTGGGAAATTGAACACCTTGAATAATTTTCCATTCCACACAAATATCCAAACACAACCAAAATATATGAAAATAGGAAAAAAACTGTAAAAGCACAAGAATAACAACACAGCAAATTATATTAGTTCACCACTAAGGACTACGTCCAGTTTTCCACTCAGATGTGGGTAATTCACTAATAATTGTGTAAGGATTAGAATACAAAASTCTCTCCAAAAAATATCTCCTAGAGGTCCCAACAAAAATCTTCTAGCTTCTAAGCATTATAACACACTATACTTAAGTACAGAAATGAAAAACACTCACTAAACCCACTAGATACAGAATCCTTTTCAACAGTGCCCACAACCACTCAAGTCTCTTTTATTTGGATTCTGTACAAATGAAACCTTAACATATGGGCTCTATTTATAATAGGCCAAATATCCTAATTCTTATAGGAAAACAATATTGTAATCCTTATAAGACAACAGTATCCTACTCCCGATAGGAATTGGTAATAGTGCTGAAAAATCATTTTCTTCATAGGACATGTGTTTCCTATTTTGGCTCCATAATCTCAACAATCTCCCACTTGGAGACAAAGCGACAATTCTCTGCCTCCCACTGCATCAACAGTGTTCCATTATCTGACTTCTCCATCAACAAACTGATCAATTCTACTTGGCCCTTCCCAAGCATCGTCTGACTCTGCCCCAAGACCGGGCAACTCTACATGGTCTTGTCCCCCAGACTTAGAGACATAGCCACGTACTCCCACTTGATCTAAGTGGTCCCCATCGCTTCCTTTCTCGATCGAAGCCAACGACCTCTGAAGGAAGATTTCCCTGATGACTTGGCGCTCCCACCCAAGTCTGTTGCCACACTAGAAATAGAACCCGTACCCTTCAATGCACTAATTCGCCTATGCGACTTTACCAGCTTGCCTGAACGCCTGACAGTTGAGGTATGAACTCGATGGCCTATCAAATTCCTGTTTCCCTTTTCTGTACTTCTCAACTGTTTTACTTGAGCTGATGGCAGATTATTCTGATCTGTTTTGGCCATCAATGCTGCTGATTCTCTAAGGTCTCGCCCTGAATCATCTGCAGATACTCTATTCATAGTCT